TCTAGGGTTGTGCCCCCCCCCCCAGATTTCAGTTGGGCCCCCAAGCTGGGTGTCCCCTGTGTACATTACGCTCATGACCGCTGAGCTTCCCCCTCACTCAGAGCGGGCTGCAGTGAACTACAGTAAACAGTCCGGAGAGGAGAAGTGACAGTGGCAGAGAGTGGGGAGGAGGTGCAGGCTTCTCTGTGATCTCCCTCCTCCTGTCATAACAGCAGTCCTCCATACACAAGGTTACACAGGATCACTCTTAGATATGACAGTTCACAGCTTGATTACCCGCCCCCATCGCCTCTAAAGACTGCTCAACTCCTGTAAATGTGGGTAGGGGTGGGTAATCAAGTTGTGTACCATCAGATCTAACAGCGATCCTGTGTAGCCTGCTGTATGGAGGATCACTGTTATGACAGGAGGAGGGAGATCAGAGAGAACCTGCATTTCCTTACTACTCCTGTAGTTCACACGTGTAAGATTGGAGGAGGGGGAGCTTATGAAAGAGGGGTGGTGAGGGGGTTGTTTGTGTTGGTATAGGTAATTGGGGGTGGAATGTGTTAGTAGGCAGGAATGAGGAGGATTTGTGTTAGGAGGGGGGAATTGGGGGAGGGAGGATTAGTGCTAGGAGGGGGGAATTGGGGAGGATTAGTGCTAAGAGGGGGGGGGAATTGGGGGGATTTGTGTTAGGAGGGAGATTTGGGTGGGGGCAGGGATTTGTGATGGGAAGGATAATATGCAGGTGGTTGTGCTAGGAGTGGAGATTTGTGGGGGAAGTGGTACTAGGTGGGGGTATTGGGGGGGAATTTGTATTGGTAGGGGGGATTTGTACTAGGAGGGGGGATTAAGGGGAGGAGATACAAGGGAGGGAAGATTTTAGGAGGGGGGTTTAGGGGGAGAGGATTTACATACAAGGGGAGATTTGGGGGGATTTACATTAGGAGGGGGGATTTGTATTGGGGGGATTGGGGAGAGAATTTATACTAGGAAGGGGAATTAAGGGGGGGGGGATTTGTACTAAGAGGTGGGATTGGGAGGGATTTGTACTAAGAGGTGGGATTTGTGGGGAGGATTTGTGCTAGGAAGTAGTTTAGGGGGAGAGTTTGATTTTTTGGCTATGGAAGATTTGTGGGAAATTGGGGGAGATTTGAGCTGGAAGGTGGGATTGGGGGGCAAGGATTTTTGCTGGGAGGAGGACTTGGACTGTGAGGATGGGGACTTTTAGGATTTTTGGTTGGGTAGAATTTGAGCTTGCTTAGGGGTGAACGTGTTGCTTAAGGCTGTTTTTTTTTTTTGAGGAAGGGGTGGAAGGTGGGGACGCATTTTTCTAGATGATCTTGTCCCAGCACTGCCAGCTTGTACACAAGGCACTTAACAGATCTTCTCCCCACATAATATGTAGCTGAGATCAGATTCCCCAACACAATGTGTAGCTGGCTGCTATGTTGCAGTTTTGACCTATGAAAGTCCCTGACTGGATTGGCAGCTGCAGTAGTCAGCTACACACTGTGTGGAGGGATACCGTTCTCAGCTATGTGTGGTGTGGGGAGGAAGAAACCTCTTATGTGCCCTGTCCTTAACTCTGCTGACCCCTGTCTTCAGCCATGCTGACCCCTGTTCCCTGCCCTGCTAACCCCTGTTTTCTGTCCTGTTGACCCCTGTCCTCTGCCATGCTAACCATTGAACACTGACTAGATAACCCAGTGTATACTGCCCTACAAACTAATTGCCTCTGCAAACTGCCCTACAAACTGCTGACCCTATCCTCTTCCCTGCTGACCTCTTATACACTGCCCTATTGACCTCGCATCCTCTCCCCCCTGACATTTTTCACTGCACCCCCAAATCAGACAGGCTAGATCTGGCCCTGGTATCAGCACAAGCATTGCCCATTGAAGGAAAGACAGGTTGAATCCAAACACAGCGAGAAAACTGACCATGCTAGGAAGAGTGTGCTTCTATACCTACCATGGTGAGTTTGAAATAGAAAGCAGAGAGACTGGCAGAATCACCAGGAATTTTACATAAACTAAGTGAAATGGGAGTACGGGAGTTATCCTTAACAGCCATTCATAATGCATACTTTATTTATATATTATATTTTATTTATTTATGTATTTATTTATTTGTATATCAGTGCAAGTTAAAAATAATAGCTAAATCCTGATTTTTTTTTTCCCTCCATGATGCTTATATAATTTCTATGCACTAGCGTTTTTTTTTTTCAATATGTTTAGGAAACTCTATTGAAAAAGTCAGACAATTCCAGAGCAGTGAGAAACTGTGTTACAGAGCATATGCATGAAAAGGTTACAGTGACACAATCATAAGATTTAGCACATAAAGCCACACATAGCCATTGGTCTCAGTTACCAGGAGTAGACATTGTTCAATAGAGAGCAAAACAAGAGGGGATGTAATTAGTCAGGTCTACCACCACCCTCAAGGTTTACCAGCCTGGTGATCACCAGGTCTAATAGGCACAAACCAGGCATGTCAAGCCAAGGTGTCTATATCTTTTCAAATTTATCAGGGAGCATGCACTGGAGGTTTTAGCCTAATTTTACTTTAGGGAATATAATATTATTGTACAGGATTGTAAACTCCACGAGCAGGGCCCTCCTATTCTTCCTTCTGTACTGAAATGTATTGTAATTGTACTCCCTTTATATTGTAAAGTGCTGCGCAAACTGTTGGCACTATATAAATCCTGTATAATAATAATATATTGTTTCCGAGAATTTTTTCTTATATAAAAACAAGAATTGTCAATGCAAGATAAGCTTAATTCATATTCACACTAATTTTACATACAGTATGTACAGTGCATCCAGAAAATACTCACAGAACTTAACTTTTGCCACATTTTGTTATGTTACAGCCTTTTTCCAAAATGGATTAAATTTATTTTTTTCCTCAACATTCTACAAACAATACCCCATAATGACAATGTGAAAGAAGTTTGTTTTGAAATCTTTGCAATTAATTATAAATAAAAAAACAAAAAAAAACCCACAATGTACATAAGTATTCACAGCCTTTGCTCAATACTTTTTTGAAGCACCTCTGGCACCAATTACAGCCTCAAGTCGTTTTGAGTATGATGCTACAAGCTTGGCACACCTCTTTTTGGGCAATTTCTCCCATTCTTCTTTGCAGTACCTCTCAAGCTCCATCAGGTTGGATGGGGAGCATCGGTGCACAGCCATTTTCAGATCTCTCCAGAGATGTTCAAACAGGTTCAAGCCTGGGCTCTGACTGGGCCACTCCAGAACATTCACAGAGTTGGCCTGTAACAACTCCTTTTGTTATGTGGGCTGTGTGCTTAGGGTCGTTGTCTTGTTGAAAGATGAACCGTCGCCCCATTCTAAGGTTCAGGGCGCTCTGAAACAGGTTTTCATCAAGGATGTCTCTGTACATTGCTGCATTCATCTTTCCTTCGATCATGACTAGTCTCCCAGTTCCTGCCACTGAAAAACATCCCCACAGCATGATGCTGCCACCACCATGCTTCACTGTAGGGATGGTATTGGCCAGGTGGTCATTGGTGCCTGGTTTCCCCCAGACATGACGCTTGGCATTCGGCCAAAGAGTTTAATCTTTGTTTCATCAGACCAGAGAGTTTTGTTTCTCATGGTCTGAGAGTCCCTCAGGTGCCTTTTGACAAACTCCAGGTGGGCTGCCATTTGCCTTTTACTGAGGAGTGGTTTCCATCTGGCCACTCTACCATACAGGCCTGATTGGTGAAGCACTGCAGAGATGGTTGTTCTTCTGGAAAGTTCTCCTCTCTCCACAGAGAAACGATGGAGCTCTTTCAGAGTGACCATCGGGTGCTTGGTTTACTTCCCTGGCTAAGGCCCTTCTCCCTCAATCGCTAATTTTGGCCAGGCGGCCCGCTCTAGGAAGATTCCTGGTGGTTCCAAACTTCTTCCATTTATGGAAGATGGAGGCCACTGTGCTCATTGGGACCTTCAATGCTACTGAAATTTTTCTGAACCCTTCTCCAGATCTGTGCCTTGATACAATCCTGTCTCGGAGGTCTATGGACAATTCCTTGGATTTCATGGCTTGGTGTGTGCTCTGACATGCACTGTTAACTCTGGGGCCTTATATAGACAGGTTTATGCCTTTCCTAATCATGTCCAGTCAACTGAATTTCCCACAGGTGGACTCCAATCAAGTTGTGGAAACATGTCAAGGATGATCAGTGGGAACAGGATGCACCAGAGCTCAATTTTGAGTGTCATGGCAAAGGCTGTGAATACTTTGTACATGTGGGTTTTTTTTTTTCGTTTTTTATTTTTAATAAATTGCAAAGATTTCAAAACGAACTTTGTTCACCTTGTTATTATGGAGTATTGTTTGTAGAATGTTGAGGAAATAAATGAATTTAATCCATTTTGGAATAAGACTGTAACATAACAAAATGTGGCAAAAGTTAAGCGCTGTGAATACATTCTGGATGCATTTACATATACTCATATACACGTAATCACACATATTTATTTATATAAATTTGATTACAAGTGTGCACATTTTTTACTACAATATTTTTCAAAGATACAGTAAAGATTCAAGTGTATTTGAGTTTATTAAACCTTGTGCCTTGCAAGTGTGAATACACATACTGGAGTTCTTCCTAGGAGCAGGTGTATCAGGGCAGCGCTGTTTAACAGTTGTCAGAAAACACTTCATGCGTGATGAGTAAAGTCTATGTACAGGGACATACGCCAGCTTGTTATTTTGCAGTGTTAGTGTTTTTCGCCTTCATCAGTCACAAGGTACACAGTGTATGTTGTTGCAATATTGCTGTCAAACTTGTTTTTTTTATTTTTAAAAGTAGAGTTTAGTGTTGTCATCTATTTAACCTTATCTACATAATTACACAATAATCAGACTACTGAACAGCATACACACTTTTCAGTGCTTAATAAGTACAGACACAATACAAATGAAGTATTTTATTATGTACCATTTTCCTTAATTGCAGGATCCATCTCTTGCTTACCGTCCAGAACCAGAACATCACCAATACAGAAATTATATGGCAAGTATAACACAATAGGAAACAAAAAAATAAGTACACCTTGATGTGTAATACATAAAATATAGAGTATACTACATTCAGTCCAGTGATTGCCTGCATTGCCAATCTAGTTAGGCTGTTGGTCATGTTCACTCTGCATGTTGGTGAAGAAGCAGAAGCAGCTTTTACTGCTGTATTTGGGCCCAACAGAATAACAGTGTACATCATAGTTATATGGGGAAGATACTTAAGGTGCTAAGTGTTCAGGATCAGCCCACTTGTGGGTAGGTGCATAATGGTGTGGTGGCAGAAAACACTCAGCACCCAGGTGCAGAGTAACAGGAAAAAATATTGCAATTGAAGTTTGGCAATACACAAAGCGCCCAAGGGGAAGGAAACCCGGCTGGGAGCACTCACAGGATGTAACAGGTATCGGTAGCAGGTGTGCCGACAGTGTCTGTCTCAAAGAACAGCATGCAGCCTGGCCACTCCTTACTCAAGTGGGGGGCTCTCAGGTAGGATGTTTTGTCCCTATTCCTCTGGAACATTTCCCTGATGCTAAGCACTGTCCCTGACAGATGGGAGGCCTGTCACTATTAGCCACAGGCGAAATGCACACCAAGCCAGGGTCTTAAGTAGACTCTGCCTCTGACACCAAAGTCACATGGGATTCCAGCATCCAATCAGATAGCTGCCACCTGTGACCCAGGAAACTATAAAGGAACTAGGCTCCTTTTGACTTCCTCTCCCTCTGCAATGCCACTGCAGTTGAGTGCCACCTATAGTGAAAAAAAATAGACTGATGCCTACACACTGGCTACCGTTATAGAAGCCCCCTGACCAAATAAACATTTGTGTTGTGCAAACTGTGAGCACTCTATAAATCCCATATAATAGGAATAAGTAGAATTTGTGCATGAGGTTTGATTTGTTGTTTACAGTGATGACAGTAAAGCTGTAGATTAAGTGAATGGTTATATGAATGATGGCAGCGAAAACAGACAAAATGAGCAGTAACCTTCCAGTGGTCCCAGGACAAAATATTGTCCACAGCACAAGAATAGTGGCTATGAAAGAGGGATCCAGACTACTTCTCTGCACAAGGGATATGGGGATGGACCACTTTGCATTCCATGTCATTGCCACTGATTTAAACTGGAACTAAACGGTGTCCATCAGCTTCAACTATTTGTAATCCTTATGCTACTAGTATTAGCAAATAGATAGGAAGGTAAATTATATGTATTTGTTTTATTTGTCCAGTTACTTCCTGGTTTCTGACCTAGGCCAAAATTATGTCATACATCCCAGTCTTCCTGGGCATTTTTCTCAAAACGTCTTTCAGGACAGTACATGAGAGAACGCAGCTCTTCTGACTCACGCAGGAAACACACATTCACGTATTTATATTGGACGCCTCTCCCCACAGTCCTACGTTATTGTGTTTCCTCCGGCCAGGTAGGGACACACAGGAACTCTGGAGACTGTGATCTCTGTGATCTGTGCTGCCTGACAGAGGTCTCTGCTTTTTTTCTTTGCAGCAGGGGTCCTCCAGGCAGTGTCCCGGAAAGGGGGTTGTTCCTGATCCCACTCTCCCCCTTCAGTGCCTGGGGAAAGCCAGTTCCGCTGAGAAATTGTAGCCCTGATGTCTCTGTGCAGGAGGGATGGCTGAGGCCATGTTTTAGGTGCCCAGGGCATGCCCGTGAGGTCGCTTCTGGGCAGGGGTGGAGCTTCAGCTCTGGGTGCAGTACGCAGGGGGAGGGGGCAGTACCTAGCCAGTGCCTATTTCCGCTCTCAAGCTGGTGCATCAGTGTGTCAGGACCAGGAGACTCAGCCAGATGGACCGCTGTAGGCTCTGCTGTGAAAGAGACAGGAGGGGCTGCAGTTCGCGGAACAGGCAGAGGCAATGGAAAAGCCCAGGAAGGAGAGAGCTTCCTATAGGCAACTTATGTATGCTTTTTCTATGTGCTCTGTGGGCGTCTCATCCCCCTGGTGGCTGATGGCCTATCTGTTCAGTGGATCCTCTGTGTGTGGGGTCAGTGCATTGGTGGTGTGCAGGTCTGGGATCTGGCTGCACTGGCTGCGGTTTTGTTGCTGGTGTGTTAGGGTCAGTCAGTGGCTAAATGGTTATGTTTCTTTTGTGCTTTGTCTTAGGCTAAGAGCAGTGAAAAGGAATTTAGTAGCAAGAGGAGGTGTTCTGCAAAACTAAACTTTCAGATTCATGGAAAAAACCTTTATACAAGGTATGTGTTTCTGCTTTGGTAAGAGAGGAGGCAGCTTCTCTGGCTTCTATAAAGGCTAAGTGGAGTGCGACTCTGCAGTCGTATAGAGATATGTAGGGGTCTTCCTCCCAGAGTGCTTCTTAGCCCACCGCCACACCAGTCATCAGCTTCCTAAATGCAGGGTCAGGAATACCCTCGGCACAGGTTGCTGTCTCTTCTCCATGGCTGGAGGGAGATTCGGAAGATGATGAGGAAGAGGTGAAGGATCCCTCAGCATCTAAGTATAAAGTGTCACTGGAGGATGTGGAGAATCTCCTTAAAGCGATTCATGTCACCTTAGGCATTAAAGAGGAGAAAAAGTATTTTTCCCTCCATGATAAGATGTACCTGGGGCTCAGTAAACCAAAAGGGAGATGTTTTCCTATACATTCAGCTGACTCAGACATGAGAAAAAAGGAATGTCAAGATCCCACAAGAGACGGTTTCCGTTTGAAGAAGACTCCTCGTCAGTATGGAACAAAGTGCCTAAAAGTGGACACTGCTTCCTCCCAAGTCTCAATAAGAACAAATTTACCATTTGAAGACATGGGGAGCCTAAAAGAGGCAATGGATAAAAGGATGGATTTGCTGCTCAAGAGAGCATGGCATTCCACAATGGAGAATTTGAAGCAAGCTATGGCAGTCACATGTGCAGCAAAGAATCTTGAGCATTGGTTGAACCAGCTAAAAGTAAATATTAATACGGGGACCCTGAAGGAAAAGGTTCTAGATTCCTTCCCTACAATTTCAAGAGCTGTAGGATATATAGCGGATACGTCTGCAGAATCCAAATGCATGACAGCTCGCTCAGCTGTCTTATCCAACTCTGCGAAAAGGGCCTTATGGTTAAAAACATGGCAGGAGGACTCAACCTCAAAAGCTAGGCTGTCTGGAATCCCTTTTTCAGGAGTTCTCCTCATTGTGCCAGACTTGGACTCAATTCTGGATTGCACATCAGACAGGAAATAGTCCTTCCCTGTGAAGAAGAAGAAGAAGAAAAAAGCTTCAAAACATGACAAGTTGCAAGGAAAGAAAATGTCTGGGCATCGCCAAAAGGAAGAGAAAAAGGAGGGGTCCTTTTCCGTATTCCTGTGCAGCCTGAAAAATCTTAATTAAAGGTCTTGAAAATGCCCTGTGGGAGGGGCGAAACGCGTTGACGCACTTCCAGTCTGCCGTCCCTACGTCCTGCGTCACTTCCGGTGAGTGGAACGCATGCCGAGGGGTGTGTTCCACGCGGCCATCTTTGATGATTGTTGGAGCTGTATTCTGTCATCCTCTGCAAAATAGGCTGTGAGGTTTCTGAAACTGAATGTGGATGTCATGGAATTTATGCTAGCCGATGGAGGCAATAAATCAATGCTTTTATTCTTCTCTTGAAATGTGAGTGGTCTGGTATCATTACTAGTATTGCACGGGGTATTAGCAGTATTACACTATTTTATTTTTTTCTCTCTTGCACTACTATGGAGCTTGGTTGGGAGGAGAAATCAGGAGCGAGTGGAAGGAGAATCCCAAGTCCTATATGGTGGAAAGGAGTCCTGGAGGCTATAGAGGGGGTTTAGGATCCCTAAAATCCTAAAAAGGCGCAATACTCACCATCATCTGCGGTTGATGTTGGTTTCACACTGGTGGATGGTGGAAGCACATTTTTTTAGGAGAAGGATTTTATCATAAGTTTTACACAAAATATTTGGGAAGGACTTTTGTTTTTATTTTTATATATATATAAATTTTTTTGGACACTTTATTATTATTTAATATTTTTATATATATTTTTTTTTTTTATTATTGATTTATACAGTGTATGGATTTGATATGTTATTCATTTGGTGAGGGGGTTTTGATTTGCGCTGTTTATTTATATTTTTTGAAAAATCCTAATGACCGGCTGCTTCCTGTGGGAGGACTACAGGCGTTCCTTCCACAATGGGAGAAGATAACTTCAAGCCTGTATATCCAAAATCTTGTCGGCAGGGGTTACAAAATTTAGTTTACAGTTCTACTATTTGCGGTCACATCCACACTCGGAATTAGTGATCTATATGCATTGTCAGTCAGGGAACCTTTTCTGATGATTTAACCAGTCAGGATCCAGCCTTTCTCTGAAAGGTAGCGTCAGCTTATCACTGCTTATCACAAGACATTATTTTAAAAACTTTTTGCCCTAACCCATCAGGGGACAAGGAAATAAATTTTCATTCTTTAATTGTGAGAAGAATTATTTTATGCTATTTAGAATTAACTAAATATTTCAGGAGTTCTGAGTTCATTTTGTTTGATGGTTCTATAAAAGGGCAGAAAGCCACTAAAGGATCCATTGCCAGATGGCAATCAAATCAGCTTATAAACTTTGTGATCTTGTTCCACCACTGGGTATCCATCCTCATTCCACGAGAGCTCTGGCAGTCACATGAGTAGAGAAGACCGGTGCCACCAAATTTGTAGAGTGACGACGTGCCCACCTTTGTGCGCCATTAGAGAATAGATTTATTATCAGCTGGGGAGCAGACCTTCGGTAGGAAGGTTCAGCAAGCTGTGCTCCCGCCCTAAAAGGGTAAGTTCTCGTTTATCCTCTCGTGCTGTCCTGAAAGACATTTTAAGAAAACCAAAGTTGGACTTACTGGTAACTTGTTTTCTAGTAGTCTTTCAGGACAGCAATAATTGCCCACCCTGATGTTGTTTATGCTGTTGGGCCTATGTTTTTCAGATGGGCCAAAGGTACTCCTTTGAGGAGAGACCTCCAATTTAAAGACTGATCCGGGTGTGTGTTTCCTGCGTGAGGAGCTTCATTCTCTCATGTATTGTCCTGCAAGACTACTAGAAAACAAGTTAAGGTAAGTCTAACTTGGGTTTGTTTTTCTTTATCTGGTGGAGGAGAGGAGGGCTTTCTCAGCTAAGCACACCTTCCTGTATGCATGCCTGAGCTAAGGGCAGATGGATTCCAAAATGCTTCTTAAATCACCTACCCTTACTCAAGATGGCCAGAGCTATAGGGGTATGGTTTTTCAAACTGAATTCTCAACAAAATAAAACAGAGACATGGTTGGCTGAGTGTATTTGCAAATAGTACAATTTTATTCTGCTTTAAGGTGAGTTTTGCTGATCTGTAACTGAGCACATTGTATCTCAGTAGTGAGACGAAAAGGAGGGGAAGTTACATTTTCTACTGTTATACCAGGGATTTTGTTACTTGGAGCAACATGGTAAGAAGCAATCATTAAAAGTTTAATCATGGATTTTTTTTTTTAAAGCTTTTTATATAACTTTGTTATCTCTTAAATTGTTCTAGGACGGCCCCCCTTGTGAACAGAGTGAAATTGACCTACACACTTATGCACACATACCAAACGGTGGATTTTGTAAAAGAAAAGGTGATCAGATGCTAAAACAAATATTATACTGTGTTGATGATGTATAAATATACAAGGAAAAAAATGGAACAGTTAGTAGCCAACTGCGTGTGAATATGCTTATGCATTGTTTAAGTGTATGTATAGGGATAGAGCATTAATTTTGCTTTGACTATAGAAGAGAAAACCCTTCAGTTGATTCTTTACTTCATTTACTTGTTGCCCTGGAGATGCAACAGGAAGTAAGATGAAATCTCTACAGAATGAGGGACATCCGTTAGCTTTACTCTCATCTCTTGTTCTGGTGACAGTTTTAAAATGCCGGATTTCCCATCTTCATCTGTCTTTCAGGTATAAACACAGCAATACAAATAGAAACTTGTCAAGGGTTCTTATTCTTTCCTATGCCATCCAATAGCAAAAATATATACAGTAATTTGTATATATTATATATGTGTGTGTGTATGTATATGTGTGTGTGTGTGTATATATATGTGTGTATATATATATATGTATATATATATTCTTTCCTATGCCATCCAATAGCAAAAATATATACAGTAATTTGTATATATTATATATGTGTGTGTGTATGTATATGTGTGTGTGTGTGTATATATATGTGTATATATATATATATGTATATATATATGTGTGTATATATATATATATATATATATATAGTTTTTTTTTTTCTCATAGAACGGGTGCAGGAACTCTCCATTTCCGAGTCACCCCCTGTCCCTGTCCCACACTGTGCCTGCGTTCCACTTCTTACCTACCTCCCAGTACTGCCCTTTTTGAGGATATAGAACCAAGTATCAATTTGTATGGAATTTGTAATTATAACAAGAAAAGCAGTAAAATAGATCACCTGCAGCCAGAAACAATAGTTCCCCCCAGCAACAATGGACCACCTGCAACAAAATACCTCCATAGCAACAATAGTCCCCGAAAGCATCAACAGATCTCCCCACAGCCAGCATCAATATATCCTCAAGAAGCAAGCAACAATAGACTCCTCCCTCAATAGTCCAGACGACTTCAGAATTCTTGTCATATGCTCTGTTTCTCACATCAGTAGAATCCCCATATATTCAGCAAAGAGACATCCCCAAATATCCAGCAAAGAGACATCACCAAATATCCAGCAAAGAGACATCACCAAATATCCAGCAAAGAGACATCCCCAAATGTCCAGCAAAGAGGCAAATGTCCAGCAAAGAGGCATCCCCAAATGTCCAGCAAAGAGGCATCCCCAAATGTCCATCAAAGAGACATTCCCAAATATCTAGAAAATAAACATTTCCAAATATCCAGCAAAGAGACAGACCCATCCAGCAAAGAGACATCCCATAAAATTCAAAGGGAAAGCCTCAAATATCCAGCAAAGATACATCCCCAAATATACAAAGAGACATCCCCAAAATATTCAGCAAAGAGACAGCCCCAAATATCCAGCAAAGTGAAAGTCCCATCCAGCAAAGAGATATCCCCATATATCCAGCAGAGACATCCCCAAGTATACAGCAAAGAGATATCTCAAAATTTTAAGCAAAGAGACATTTACATATAATCAGCAAAGAGACATTCCCAAATATTCAGCAAAAAGACATTTCCATATATTCAGCAAAGAGACATCCCCAAATATCTGGCAAGGAGACATCCTGAAATATCAAGCAAGGAGACATCCCTATTCACTCAGCAAAGAGACATTTCAAAATATCCAGCAAAGATGCATCCCCAAATATCCAGAAAAGAAACATTCCCAAATATCCAGCAAAGAGACATTCTCAAATATCCAGCAAAGACACAGCCCCATATATTCAGAAAAGAGGCACTGCCAAATATTCAAGAGCCAAGAACATTGGCAGGGGACCCCAGAAGAGGAAGATCCTGACTGTTCTGTGCAATTCTATTGCACAGAGCAGGTAATAATAATGTTTGTTATTAAAAAAAAAAAATCTTTACTATCACTTTTGGCTCATCTATAGTGGTCAGGCAGCACATACTCTATGCTTGCAATGAAACGCAGAGAAAGAATTATTTAATGTATAATTTCACCCGAAGCTCACTGTGATTGTCTGGATTTTTTTTCTCATTTTGTCTCTCATAGTTGAGGTCTACCTATGATGCCAATTACAGGCCTCTCTCATCTTTTTATGTGGGAGAACTTGCACAATTGGGGGCTGACTAAATACTTTTTTGCCCCACTGTAGATGGACCGGACAGGAAGTAGTTAAACATAGTTCACTACCTCTTTAACGTAGTATTAAATCCTCAGTGCTTTTAGCTTAACACATGATCCCAATAAAATAAATATTACCCAGTAAAGTATTTGTTAAAATTCTTATTCCAGCATATGTAGATTACAATGTTAATGCTGTAGGCGTCTGCTCTCTCAGTGCTCCTTCCCTGAACTTCTGGTTTTCGCAGGGGGAAAAAAAGGTAACAGTGCAGTCTATTAGCATGGACATGGGAAGGGTAGGAGCAGGGGAGTGCCTTGCCATCCTAGGCTAGGAGATTGAGTGTTTCTATTGATAAACACAGTTTAGGGAGGCAAAACTCCTGTATGCAATGGTGGCTCTATAGGATGCTGCAAGAAAAAGGAGCCACCCGGAAACAGGAAATCTGGGGCAGCAGTCATGGCACCAGCTTAAACAGGAATATAGCCAAAGAATACAATATTAAGAAGCTGCATACTTGGCAAGTGATTAAAGTGTTTGCAGTACTGTTACTCCTGGTCTGTGTGTGTTTTGCTCCCTTCCTTGCTATTTTCTGTGATGACTTTGTCCCTGCATTGGCAGTCCCATAGACATATATTACCACAAATAAGGCTTATGCCAGCTTAATTTACATTATTCTTATGTGGCTTGGAACTGCAGATCAGCTTTGTATCCTTGCAGCTGTCACTTTGCACAATTTGGCATCCTTTTTCTTTTTTTTGTGATAGCTCAGTGTCCTGTCCTTGCTACACGTTCCCTGTGTGTAACTCGACATGCAGCTAAACCCTCCTATTCTGCAATATTCCAGACTGAATGTAATCTTGAAGTTTAATTGACAAAGCAGGCTGGGGTGAAACTATTAGGAAAATCCAATACAAAGTACATATAAACAATATATGAAATATACAAACACAATGAAATCATTAAGATGCGGATGACAATAAATTCATGCTCACCAGTGATGCTGCTTGTAGGGGATGTAGGTTTGCTACACAACGTGTGCTTCGATGGCTGGTTCCTTCCCTCTGTTTCTAAGATGGAGTCTAAGCTGCCAAGATGCATCTGTGATGGGAATTTCTATTAACTCTTAACACTTATCTGACAGTCTCTAGTTTCTGTAAAACAGTACAGGCGGGCCCCATCTAGTTGCTGAATATTTGAGGCTGAATTTCCCTGCTGGAGGCAGAACACTCAGATGCAAAGGAATAAATGGATGCATGCCTGTTTTGTATCCGCCTGCCCATACACCTAACATGGGTCCATTCAGCTTAGTGAAAAAAAAATGAACATGGATGTCACAAAAGAGTGGATCTTCTGTCCAAAACAGTCTTTTGAAAGGACCCTGAGGCAATTGGACACTCCCTGGAGCAACAACCTGTGTTATTAATTATGAATATCAAGAAACAGTTAAAGGCTGCCTTTACACAGCTGTTAAAAAATGCACTTACAAGTGTCTTTTATTTGCACATCATTGTTTTCAATGGAGATGTTCACACAGGTGCGTAAATGTGCACTGTGTGTAGTTCCATAAAACACAAAATACAAAAATCTGATCTGAGGACATCTGCATTCTGGTATTGAAAAAAACAACAGGATAGTTTTATTCATTTAAAAAAACAGATTTAAAATAGAGTATCATTTACGTAGAAACATTTGTATCAGTAATATTTTTACGCACATGTGAATGTAGCCATAATCTGTGCATTTAAAAAAAATTCAGCTTTTTTTTTTAGTCACATGCCCTCCAGAGGATTTACCCCCCTTCCTGACCAGGTCATTTTTTGCGTTACGGCGCTGTGTTACTTTAACTGACAATTGCGCGGTTGTGCAACGCTGCACCCAAATTAAATGTACGTCCATTTTTTTCCCACAAACTGTGCTTTCTTTCAGTGGTATTTGATCGCCTGTGAATAAAAACAATTTTGAGAACATAACTTTTTTGACTTTTTGCTATTTAACATGTCCAGTAAAAAAATTTTAAAAATCAAATTTTGTCATATATTTTAGGCCAAAATGTATTCTGTCACATGTCTTAAAACGCTGTGTAAATGGACGGCGCGATAGAAGTACCTGAAATAAATAAATAATGTCTTTGTTAAAAAAAAAAACAATACGCGTACGTTAATTGGTTTACGTGAAAGTGTCAGATACTGGATTTTTTTTTTACTAGTAATGGTGGCGATCAGCAATTTATAGTGGGACTGACGCAGGCATTCTGACACTGGGGGGGAACTGACTTGGTGTCACTGACATCCCCAGTGACACCAATACAGTGATCAGTGCTAAAAAAAAGCACTGGCACTGTACTAATGGCACTGGGCAGGAAGGGGGTTAACATGAGGGGCGATCAAAGGGTTAACTGTGTGCCTGGAGTGTTTTACTAGGGGGCTGTGTCCGTGTGCTTCACTGTAAGAACATTGCTTTGGATGGCTGTTGTGTGCACAGCCACTGATAGCAGTGTGCCCGAGCTGACAGAGAGAACTGTACTAATGGCACTGGGCAGGAAGGAGTTAACATGAATTGGTTGTTAACTGTGTGCTGGGAGTGTTTTACATATTGGGCTGTGTCAGTGTACTTCACTGTAAGCACACTGCTTTGGATGGTTGTGCTGTGCACAGCCATCCAAAGCAGTAGTGCCCGAGCTGAGTAATCACCTGAGTGTGCCGGCAAGTAATCACCTGCCGGGACCCAGTGATTGACAGAAGTGGCCACGAACGGTGGCATTGGTAGGGCGTGTGCGCAGCTCTCGCTTGCCCCCTACCCGGAAATGCAAATCACGTATATATACGTGATTTT